ATGTGGGCTTTTGTAAATTGTGCTGCCATAAATATTGGGGTGAATAAATCTTTACAAATTATTGTTTTGGTTTTCTTTGGATAAATATCCAGAAGTGCAATTGCTGGGTCAAAAAGTATATTCATTTTTAATTTTTTGAGAAACCTCCATACTGTTTTCCAAAGCAGCTGTACCAATTTGCAATCCTACCAACAATATATGAGGGTTCCCTTTTCTCCGCATCCTTGCCAACACTTGCTGTTTTTTGATTTATTGATGACAGCCATTCTGACAGGTGTGAGGTGATATCTCATTGTGGTTTTAATTTGCATTTCTCTGATAATTAGTGACCTTGAGCATCTTTTCATATATCTGTTAGCCATCTGTATTTCCTCTTTGAAGAAGCATCTGTTCAGGTCTTCTGCCCATTTTTTAATTGGATTGTTTGTTTTTTTGCTGTTGTTGTTGAGTTGTATACGTTCTTTATAGATTTTGGATATTAACCCCTTATCAGATGTATCAGTAGCGAATATCTTTTCCCAGTTGGTTGTCTTTTGGTTTTGTTGATGGTTTCCTTTGCTGTACAAAAACTTTTTAGTTTGATGTAGTCCCATTTGTTTATTTTTTCTTTTGTTTCCCTTGCCCGAAGAGCTATGTCTGAAAAGAAATTCCTGTTAGTAATATCAGAGAGTTTACTGCCTATGCTTTCTTCTTAAAGTTTTATGGTTTCAGGTCTTACATTTAAGTCTTTAATCCATTTTGAGTCTGTTCTTGTATACGGTGTAAGAAGATGGTCCAGCTTCTTTTTTTTTTTGCATATATCTGTCCAATTTTCCCAACACCATTTATTGAAGACTGTCTTTACTCCATTGTGTATTCTTACCTCTTTTGTCATATATTAAGTGAGTATATAGGCGTGGATTTATTTCTGGGCTCTTTATTCTGTTCCATTGATAATGTATCTGTTTTTATGCCAGTACCATGCTGTTTTGATTACTGTAGCCTTGTAGTATAGTTTGATGTCAGGTAGTGTGATATCTCCAATTTTGTTTTTCTTTCTCAAGATTGCCATGGCTATTCGGGCATCCCACAATTTTTGATATGTCGTGTTTTCAACTCTAATTCAGTGAAAAATATTTTATAGTTTCTCTTGTGCCTTTAAAAAAATCCATGGTTTATTTAGAAGGATTTGGTTTAATCTGCAAAGATTTGGATATGTTTCCAGATAATATCCTGTTACTGATTTCTAGTTAAATTTTATATGGTCAGGGAACATTTTGCAGATTTCAGTTCTCCTATATGTTGATATTTGCTTTATGACTCATGCTATGGTTTGTCTTAGTAAATGTTCCACATATACTTGAAAATTATATATATCTTGCTGTTGAGTAGAATGCTCTAAAGATGTCATATAGTTGTGTCTTGCTTTTTTATGCTACATGGCAATCTAAGTGTCGGGTTAGGTTAATATATATAGAATATGTATGTATGTATGTATGTGTTAGGTTAGTTCAGTTTATATGCATCCTTCATCATTAGGCAATGTCCTTTTTATCCCTTGTATCATTCCTTCCTTTTACATCTGTCTTATCTGATATTGATATAGCCATCCAGCTTTGCTTTGATTAGCATTTGCATGATTTTTTTTCTGTGCTTTTACTTGTAACATACTTATGTCTTTATATTTAAAGTGGATTTCTTGTAGACCGAATAGATTTGGGTCCTGTTTTTTATTCAATCGGACAATTTCTGTCTTTACTGGTGCATTTAGAACATTTCCATTTAAAATGATGGATTAAAATCTACCATTTTGCTAGCTATTTTCTATTTATTCCTTCTGTTCTTTTTTTCCCCCTCTCTTCCTGGCTTCTCTTTGGTTAAACAAGCATTTTTTTTTATGATTCCGTTCTAGTATCTGTATTGATTTATTCCTTAGATTTGTTTTTTAAAATGTTTTTTGCTCTCCTACAGGACTTGCAATATACATTTTAAGTCAATCTGAGTCTACCTTCACATAATAGTCTACCACTTTCAATGTAGTGTAAGGTCCTTCTAAGAGTGTATTTCCAGTATCTCCCTCCAGCCTTTGTGCTGTTTTCTCATATATTTTGTTTAACATATGCTGTAAACACACAGTTCATCATTACTGCTTACTTGGGACCAGAGTTGCTCAATTTCCGGAAGGGACAGATGGTGATTACAGACCTGTGAGCCTAACCCACAACCATGATCTCCATCTCTAACTCAGCCCTGCCTGTGATGCAGTTTTATTTACTGTGGAAATACATATTGTTATTTAGCTTTTTACAAAGTGCAGCTTGTGTCTCCTTCAGTGTGAGTGTGCTTTCCGCCCAGCTGTCTGTATGGAACTGCTTCAAGCTGCCTTTTACTTGCCTCTCTCTTGGTGGCTGAGAGTGTCACAGACAGGAGTATTGCGCTCTCCTGCAACATCTTTGTGCAAACATATCTGTGTAAACACTGAAGTCCAGAGGACGTGAACATGCTCTTGTAGGAGTGGAAGTTGTTAGAAACAAATTCAGAAACTTGTGGTTTGAATGGAGGGTAATTGTGGCTCACGTGTAAGCACCATCATAAGCTTCAAGCCCTGTAGCATGTTCTGGGAATAGCACTATTGACCGGACCCATGGGCTATCAGGATGTATTTATAATGGGAATGCTGAGAGCAATCTGGGATGGTTAACTAACCATTTACATGTAACCAGGCATGTATTTTATCTGTGTGTATATCTATCTTATATATGTGTATATAGCGTATATAAGTAGATACAACATATATAGGTATATATACATATACATATGCATGTGACTTCTCCAAGTTGGATCTTACAATATTTCCTCCAAGATTTTGAGAACTACTTAGAACCCCTGAGTCCATATTTTGATTCCAAATCATTGGTCAGACTCTGCCTTGTCTTCTTATCAGCCGAGCCTCCTCGAGTTGGAAAAGCACCCAATGGTGTCCACAGGTGGTGCGTTCTTGCTCACATACATTTTATCCTCCTCTTTTTCTTCCAGTTGTGGCATTCTTGGTGGCTTTCCATCAGAACAAGCAGCTGATTGGAGACAGAGGACTGCTGCCCTGCAAAGCGTACCTGAAGAGTGTGCAGAAGCACTTCCAGGGGCGGGTCAGCTGGGACGCTGTGAGCTATGCCCCGACCATCCTTTGGCTGCTGGACTGGTCACACATGGACTCTAACCTGGATGCCCTCGCACTGCTTGGATTGGGCATCTCGTTTTTCATCCTAGTCACCGGCTGTGCTAATATGGTTCTCATGGCTGTGCTCTGGATTCTCTACATGTCCCTGGTCAACGTGGGACAGATCTGGTGAGTAGGAAGAACTGGGCACACGTGATCCAGGTGTGCTGAAGTTGAGCATCCTGGTAATGTTACACACCACAGAGCAAACCTGTCTCCTAGCAGCTAGAGGGATTGAGGAGACTTTCTTCTTACATTAGTTCAGGAGAATATCATCATTTTAATTAGGCCATGGTCGAGACTGCTAGTTGCCAATAAGCCAAAATGCAGGGGCCTTTCTTCTTTGTGAACAATCGCCATTGTTTGAGAATGTCATGGCCGCACCTGGGGCCAACACATAGCTAGCCTCCTGAGCTAGCAGGACAGTGAGGTGGAGGTGGAAGTTGCTGGGCGAGCTTCTGGTGGCAGCATTGACTTGGAGGCTTACACCTGCTGCTCCTACCCTCTCCTGCTCCTTTCTTGTCAAGAGGAAGCTTTTTCAGCTAGTACCAGGGATCACAAACTTGGTCGGCTCTGATGGGGCTCCAGTGCTGAACAGATCAGAGGTGGCGATGGAGCTCCATGGAGGCCAGAAGACTGGAGAAGTCCTGCAGGAACACACACAGAGCACATTAACACGCCAGGGCAGCCTGTGGCCAGCGATAGGCCTGGATGAAGTCAGGGGCCCCTGAAGTGCTGTGGTCTGTTTAAACTGGTCAGAGGAGGGGGATCCTACTCTTCTTCCCATTTCTGAGTTCCAGGAATAGGTAAGAATAGGTAAGAATCACCTATCAAAGGAAACACAGAAGAAAAGGTGAAGCCTTGAAAGTAGGGTCTGGGATAGGGGGTAGGTATCTGTGTAGACATGCAAAAAGTAGATGTAAGGTTGATGTCTATCTAGACATACAGGAAGTAGATGTGATGTCTATCTAGACATACAGGAAGTAGGTTGTGTAGACATGTAGGAAGTGGATATGTAGGTATGTGTCTGTGTAGACATGTAGGAGGTTCAGTATATCTGGGGCGACTGTTGAAATGGTCCCTCCAGGGGCTATCTGTTTTCTGGGAAAAAAGCTTTTTTGGTGCCCCAACAGTCTGTTCCTTGCTGGCCCAGGATGGAGAGGGTCACTGGGTCCTGGATCATGACAGTGACGTTTCCCAGAGAGTGAACTTTAACCCAGAAGGTCCAGCTCCTGGGTATGAGGAGGTGACCTTCATTTCCTCCTGCTGTTTACTTTGCATGGTCCTCTTGCTGTCGTATGGGCTGGGATCCATGTGGCAGTCCCCCTCAGCTCTGTGATGTATGCCCTGGTCTCCAGCACACTGCCGTGAGAGAGATCCTGGACTGGATCTTGCCACATCTCTTCTTGCTGTAGGAAGTGCTGATTTGTGTTGGGCATGGGTTGGGGAAAGTGTGAATGACAGCATGTATGTAGGATGCATTGCCCTCATATCTAGCCTGCTAAAAGAAGATTTGGCGTCTCACCCTGAAAAGCCCTCCACTCTGCCACTCCTAGGGACTTGTGTCGGCAAGTTACCGTTGAGAGCAAACGCTATGGCAGTCAGAGCCTGAGATTTAGGAAGGACTTCGGGAAACTTTAATATGTACAGCTGTGGCATGAGCTGTGTGCATCAGGGAAAAAAGGCCAAGGGCTGTGCCACCACTTACTCAACCGCGGGCATGTCTTTATGAGGTGTTCACACCGGCCACCGAGTGACCGACGACATATCATTGTGGCTCATGCACCATGTGTTCAATTCCATACAGAAACTGTTGGTTTCCTAGAGAGGGGATATATTAAATGTGGTTCATTGCATTTTTTTTTTTTTGAGGGTGGAAATAGGGGCTGGTGTGCAGTTAGATCTGTCTGTCTCAAGTGGGCTCCGTGAGCAAAACAGCTGTGAGGCAAGTGATACTTCCTTCATTCCCATCTGCTCCTTCCCACATGGAATTCATGGGTGTTGCCACCTCAGGGCGTCTGACCACCATGGCAGCCACAGGCAGTTACTATCTGCCTCCAGTCTCCTGTCCAGTAGTTGTTTACCAGCATAAGAGGCCTCTGGCTGGGTTTTTGTGATATCCAAAAGGCAGCTGTTGCTTGAGACCTGTGATTTTAATACATGCCAGAGGAGGAAGAATTCTAGGTACCTTTGTCCCGTTATAACAGTGGGGGTTACAGAGAGTGAGAGAACCCCACTGCAGTGTTGTGCCTGGAGACAACGTGCTCCATCTCTAACAGGTGGCTTGGGTCATGTCTTAATGTACCTGGCAACAAAACCATGTCAACTTTAAGTTTTTCTTCAAAAAATATTTCCAAATCATGTCTAAAATATGCTGTCAGGAAAGATTAACCCCATATTTAAATTTCTGAAAACCAGTCCGAGCACGTGTGGCCAAAAATAGAGGCTTGTATTTTCTCATTGGGAAAGATATTCTGCTCACCTACATTGGGTTTGTTTAAAAAATTTGATTCAAACTAATTTAAGCTCATTGAAACTAATAAAATAAAACTAAAAAAAAAAAAAAATTTAAGCTCATTAAAGCAAAATAAAATTGTATCTTCCAGAAATGATGCCTGAGATGTTTTAGGTGAAAAAATGTAAAAGAAAAAAGCCTCTATCAGTGGAGACCAGTGGTTTATTCACCATGTTCCTCATGCCAGACATCCGTGGTCACAGCTTAACTGTGGGTCTCGTTGGCACAGGCGTGGGGGTATGGCGCGGGACTCCATGAGAATGCAGCTGGGTGGTTAGCACAATTCAGTGCCCTCAACCCCGACACTGTCTCAGGTCAGCTCTTGACTTGTGTTTCCCTGGTGGATGATAGTTTTTGGGTTGTCGGAAAGCTTACTGAGAGCACAAGGACCCCTTAAATGGAAAATGGGCTTGCTTTTTCTCGATACCCTGAAATGAGAGTTAGACACAACTTGTTCTTTTTATTTCCCCTTTATTTTAAGTTGAGAGGAAAGAATATTTGTTTAGGATGAGATGCTTAGATAATGGACACCGTTGATGGAACGTCTTTCAAGTGTTGTCCAGCTGGCGTCCTGTGGCAAGGACAGGAAGCCCCCATGGGGCGAGGAGGCGCCGGGCAGGTGCACGTGGCACTTCTCCACCGGCACACAGCCCTGCATCAGGCCACTCAGCTTTGCTGCATGCGTGCAGTGGCCGCTATTTCACTTGGAGCCTTTCTCTCCCTTCTCATAAAGGGGTGTCCTCAGCTTCTCCCTGACTCAGACCAGTGTCCGTGACAGCTTCTCAGTGCTGGAAATGAATATCGCAGTACACATGGGGATCTTCCACTGCTGCCACATGAGGAAGGTAAAACCTTGAGCTCAGTGGCAGTTTCAGTCTCCAAGGCCAGTGTCGTGGGGCAGAGTCAAATAGCTGTACACAACAGTTCTGCATGTTCCAGAACCATGATCACCCTTCCTCCTTTCTCCTGCCTGTATCCTGACAGTTGGTGAGGCAGGCAGGAGCCTAATGAATCCACTTCATGATGGTGATGGTCGAAGATGTTTGTTTCGGGAAGAGTGGCTTTAATCATGCATTCCATGCTTTGCAGGGTAATGACCATGTCCTTGGATGCAGGCGACCCCACACCCTGGGAAAACAGACATTTAGGATCCAGGTTCAAGTAGATGGACTTAGAAAGTAGGCCTGGGTGATTCAGAGCTTAGGGGTGGGTGAGAGAATTCCTTAGACTTCTTTTCAGGTGGGAGGGAAAAAGAGGAGCAGATTTACCTTTTTTGTGGCATTTTCTTGGGCTGTGATTATTTTCTTGTTTGGTTGATTGAGAAGCAGCTCTGCCTTCTGAGGACAGGCTGCAGTAGACAGCTAGGTGAGCCTTTCTATCATCTGTCCTTTCTTCTGGACATGGGAAAGGTGACTGGACTCAGGACTATATTCTAAAAGATAGGAAATAGGAAAGCGGCCCAGCGCCAGGTGGCCAGATATTCCTGTATATTAGCTACTGTGAGTGGGCAGTTAGAACCCGACCAGACCAGCAGACCTCACAGTAGAGGTGCAGAGCGAGCCCATGTGGGGGCTCAGGGTTTCCAAGGAGGACACAGTAAAATGGTACCAGGCGGCTGTGGGGGCCCCAGCTTCGCGATAGCCCATTCTCATTAGCAATCAAGTGTGATTGGAATAGGTTTTAATTGATAATGTTCAAGGACAAGAGTGAGAACAGGTCATTCAAAGCTGTTCCTGAGGGTAATAGTGAGTTAAATGACCATTCTTGCTTCTTGTCCGTATTTTAATGAAGGAGGCCTTGTTAGGTGAAGACATCTTTCGGGATGGGAGACAGGAGGTGGCCCAGGACTGGTTTGGGCAACAGGGTGCCTCAAATTGGATGGTAGCGTGCATGGCCAGCGGGCAGCCTTCTGTTATGGAACTTTATCTCCTTTTTCTCAAATGGGGTTGGATTGAGCTAGGGATGCCTTTGAGAACTCCAGTTGAGCTCATTCTGTTCTTACTGAGAACTTGAGTTTGTCTGCCTAGACATTGCCAAGAGCCCCCAGATATTGCATCCAGCGGAAGGAGGTGTATACCATCCTGACGTGGGTGGCCAGTCCCTCCTGGGGGCCCTGGCCTGCACTCTGTTTTGTGTGCTGGTGAGGAGCGGGCAAGGTTGGAGGTGGCTCTCCTGACAGGCACAGATTCTGGAGCTCCCTACGTACCTCAACTTGTTTTTAATTTAATAAACTTCACTTTTTAGAACAGTGTTAGATTTCCAGAATTATTGCAGAAACAGTGCAGAGAGTTTCTGTGTACCCCATTCCACTTTCCCCTGTTGTTATCCTCTTACATTGTCACACCTAATGAACGAGTGTCAACACATTATTATTCACATTTCCTCAGTTCCTCCCTAACGCCCTCTTCCTGTCTCTGGCTCCTACCAGGCCCTATATGACATTTGGTCTTCACATCTCTTTAGGCTCTTCTGGGCTGGGGCCTTGTCTCAGACTCTCTTGTTTTTGATTCCTCAATAGTTTTGAGGAGGACTGGTCAGGTGTTCTATAGAATGTCCCTCTGTTTGGACGTGTCCGATGTTTTCTCATCATTGCTTGGGTTGTGGGTTTGGGGAGAAGACCACAGAAGTACAGTGCTATTGTGAACTATCATATCGGAGGTCCGTGCCATCGACACAACTCATCTGATCCTGCTCTTCAGCTGAGTCGTGTCAATTGGGTGTCTCCACTGAACATCCGCCCTTCCTCCCGGTTCCACTCCACATGTTCTCTTTGGAGGAGTCACTAGCGCAGCTTACACTTCAGGGACCCTCCAGGGCACCGGCATGGTTATGTGGGTTCTTCCAAATGGAGACCCATCTCTTGCCCCATGTTTTTATTCAGTCTTGATCACTATGGACTCCTGCGTACATCTATTTTGGTACTTTGAGTATCTGTCCTCTGCGTCTAGGAGTCTAAACATCTTGGAGATCAGCAACATTTCAGAGAGGCAGAGTTCAGTACCTATTCTTGCATAGAATTTAGGAGATCTTAAAGAAGCACCTACCACGACTAGCACTGTCCTGTCTAAAACAGTGGAACGCCATTGGAAACCCTAATTGCGACTTCTGTCCCAGTTTCTCCAGTTAGTTTAGCATCAGCTTTTCCAAAAAGCTGGATTTCTGATCCTTTTATCTGTGCTTTACTTTGGCAATAATCCTAAAGGGCTTCTTTGTTGCTATTAAGGATGACTGTATAATCTTCTTTCTCTTCCCCACCTTCCTGGCCCCCCAAAAAGAAGAAAGGATTATCTCTAGAAACTTGGACCAAGGTTAGGCAGCTCAGGGGGTCCCTTCCTGTGGAGGAAGCTGCCTCTGGCACATCCCTCTGACACAGGGACAGGGTATCAACTTCAAAGAGTGCTGAGAGCAGATGCCAGCGGGCCCGGGAACTGTGGAGGGGACCAGGTCAGGGCTCCACTGTGACTATTGAGAATGAAAACCTGATTTTGGCTCTAGGCCTTAAACGAAATGCCGTTCCATGGCTGCCCCTGTCTTGGTCCATAGCCCGTCAATTTCACCAGGTGTAGATACAGTCGATGCATAAAAATGAATTCCTCTTTTGGATTAATGAGGTTCCAGGAAGCAGAATGGTGATATTTTCATTTTGTGGTCACAAGGGTCAGATACCCAGTGCCACTCAGGGGCCCTGTGCCATGTGGCAAGGGAGGAAGGCAGGGCTATAGGCGCTGTACCCTGCAGTGCCTGCACCTGATCAGCAAGCCCTTCCCTTGTCAGATGAGTGTGTTCACGGTCCTGTGATGCACTGTTCAGGCAGAGGTAGGGGTGGGCGGATGCCCACTGACCGCGTGGGCATACTGAGGGCCGCTACTTTAATTCCTGTGGCATTTTCATCCTGAGCTACTTCTGTTTGGCCAAACAGGGATTGTGACAGGGATTTCAGTGTGGATGGCATGATTAGCCACAGACAGGCATCAGTAATCAAGGGTGGTGTAGAAGAACATGCTTTATTACCAACTCCCGTCTACCTGCTTCCTGAGGGGGCCTTCAAGGAGCTCTGTACCAGGCAAGAAAGTGGAGGAATTCTTACAAATTCACAGCTTGACTGTTCACAGCCAGGAGAGCGGAATTTCACAAATATTTGTCCATGAAGCCTTTTTACAAAATGAACAAGCATTGGAAGCCTAATGTACTTTTCTAATCAGAGGCCTTCTGTAAAAATAGAAGCCTCATACAGAAGTTGCTGGGGTAGAATGAGGCTCAAGGGGCTGTGGACAAAACCGCTTTGTATGGTAGGCTGGTATTCTGGTCGAGATGTAGTGGGCTTTGCAGGGCTTCTCCCCTCCTGGATTCTTTCGCTTCCTTCACGCGAAGGCATGCCTCCCTTTGTGGAGAGTCCCTGTCTTTAACAGGCAGGCAGAGGTACTGCATTAACACAGACCATTTGGGAGCAAAATCTAACTCTCTTGGAACAACGAAGGCCTTGAATTTCTTTAGAGAACAAAACAATAGAACGTCCCCAAAATAGCCCTATGGATGGCCATCTCTTCTAAAATAAGTTCCAGCTGTTAAAAAATGTAATAAAAGCAATAGCAATAATGAAGACTTTTTAGTTTTTAATGTAATTAGATATAACTACCTAGGTTTAAAAATCTTATATCAGGCAGCCTTCAATTCAAAACAGGTGAAGTTACAGAAGAATACATTTTTAAATACCTTCAATAAATGTGATGGCAATAACACTACGAGCCTACCCCTGGTTTCCGCGGGGTCCCTGTGTTCTGGTGGCCCAGGCTGCAGTTGGGAGCCATGTGAGGCCAGCTCTGACCTGACAGCTTTCAGTGTCTTCTAGTCCTATCTGATAAAAATATAAAACATTGATTATCTGTGAGTTTGTGAAAATCAGCCCCTTTCTTCTTCTCCATCAACAAGGTTATTTACCGGGTAAACTTGCTTCTTGCATTAGCCACTGAGTACACTGGCTGTTTTAAAAGTTTTTATTATGGAAACTTAGAAACCTATTCAAAAATAGAGAGCCTAATGCAAAGAACCCTCATACACAAACATCCGTCCCCTCTCCTGTCAACTTTTCTTTTCTGGAATAAGAGTAAATCCCACATTGTGTTATTTTACATGTAAGTAGTATGCATCTCTGATGCGTCAGGGTTGTTAAAAGTACCATTGCTGCCAGGCCACCAGCACCCCCAGCTCTGAGACGGCCATTTGACACTCAGTCCCTCAGTGCCCCCCATTGCTTCAGTGTCCTGTATTCTTGCCTACAGAGTCTGCATCTGAACTTTTCACTGTGGAAAACCACACACCCATTCAAAAGTGAGTAGTGTAAGGAGCCCTGTGAACTGCACTGAATCTCCAGACACCTGAGACTGACCCTCCTTTTGTTCCCCAAGAGTCCTGCCCTTCCCTCACTGAGAGCTCTTTGCAAATCTCAGACCTGATCCTTTCATTCATACGTGTTTTATTAAGCAACTATTTTTAAAAACATCTTTAATAAGGTAGAATTCTCCTACCATAAAATTTAGCTATTTAAATTGTACAAGTCAGTGGTTTTATATATTCACAGAATTCTGCACCCATCACCACTAAATGTAAAACATTTTCATCACCCCCGCAAGAAAACCCATACCCATCAGCCCTCACACACCACCATTCCCCTCCCAGTCCCCAGCACCCACTGATCTGCTTTCTTTTTCTCTAGATTCACCTGTTCTGGACATTTCACATAAATGGAGTCACACACTATGTGGCATTTTGTTTCTGGATTCTCTTACATAGTGTGATGCTTTCAGGGTTCATCCATGTTGTAGCATGTGTCAATGCTTCGTTCCTTTTCGCTCCTAAATAATAGGTCATGATGTTCGTAAGGACAGGTGTGGTCATTTTATTCTTGAGTCCAAGTGTTAGATTTTGTCTTTAACTTGGTCTAGGAGACAGGTGCCAGAGCTGGCACAAGGCCACATGCGACTCCCCGACCCCAATTTTGTTTCTTTATATTGTAGGGATTTACAGTCTGTGATTTAGGCTCTTTACACATTTGTGTTTTCCTTCCCCAAAGGTGCAAATTGAGCCTGCAACACGGACACCCTGGGTCAGGGTGAGGACTCAAAGTTCTAGTTGTATTCTCAAATCCTTAGAGAGGAAACAAACCCCTCAAATTCATTTAGGGCCCTTTTCTAATAATCTGTGCCCAGGGTAATAAAGTATCCTTTAAATTTTCAGGTTCTACGGCATGACATTTTCATGGTGTTTGATTGAAATTATTTACTGCAAGAAAACCAAGTATTACATTTAGTTTTTTTCAGAATATCTTTTGATTGGTCTGTTGTGGGTGTGGTCCTATACTGACTGCATAGGGTGGTACAGGGGATGAAAAGGGTCCTGTCCCCCAGGGCAGCCAGCCTCGGGGCTCCAATTCCTCACTCAAAGTACCAAGGACAGGTCTCCTGTCCTCCCTCATCTCCGCTGAGAGCACCCAAGGGTAGATTCAAGAAGCCTGGTGAACTACCTTTACCTCGTGCTGCATCTAATGCTTGTGAGCTCTGTGCCCTGATCCCACACTGTCCTGGGGCCACTGGCATGGGCTTTACTTAGTGTGGTAACATGATGCTTTAATCTTACAAGTTTTTTGGCAAAGCATGCCAAAATTTTAATATATTTTTCTCCTTTTGTTTTTCAGGTATTCATTTGGTAAGTGAAAATCATTTAGAAAAAAACTCTGCAAGAGTTAGCATTATGTGTTGGGGTATGTATCCTCGTGCCTTTTTTTTTTTTTTTTTCCCTGGCTTTCTCATTGCTTGAGCCTCTATAATCAGCCAACAGGTTTCACCGTGTTGTTCTGATCGCATGTTTGTTTTCTAACCGGGACTCCTACCCGCAGCCGGCCTCCTTGCCCAGAGTGGTAGACTAATGCAGACGAGAGAACTCATGTATTTTCAGATTCAATGTGTGTAGCACCATTCTCCATAATACTGGGTAGAACAGTCCCACAGCAGTGATGGCAAATGTTGATGGCTCCATCACATTGTTATGGATCCGTTCCCCCAACTCTAGGTGAATGAAAAGGCTTACGACATGTGTGCTCCCCTCTCCAAGCTGCACCAAGTCCCTAGTGGTCAGGAGTCCATGGGTACCCTACACAGAGGAGGATTCACCTGGCATTGTCACTGGCAGAGTACCCCAAAGGTGGTTGGATTTCTGTTGGTAGGGGGAGGACTCCAAGTCCCCCCAGCCTGTGCTCTAAGGGAGACACTGCACCTAGAGTGAGTATGTAGGGTAGGGTTTTAGTTCAGAGATGAGCGACATTGGGACAATGGCTGCTGGCTGGAGAGTGAGAGTAGGACAGCCCCCAAGTGAACAAAACTGGACAGGGCTGGACATGGCACAGGTTACATTTGGGTCTCACCAGCTTACGTGCCGTTACAAAGACATCAGCGCTCTCCAGGGAGGTATAACCAAACCCAGACGCCCCACAGCATGACATCCTCAAGCTCAGAACACAGCCCCCAACCACACAAGAAACAGAGGACTGGAACAGCAGGCCCATTCTGCGGGGAGTAGACAGTCGACAGAGGCTAAGCCCAAGATGACTAGATGCTGGGATTTTCAGACAGGGTCTAAGCAGCTGTCGAGACTATGTGTACCAAGATGAGGGAAAACAGCCTCTTGATGAATAAAAAAAAAAAAATGAGGTCACAGCAGAAAAAATTGAAACTACGAAAAAGAAACAAGGAAATTTCAGAACTGAAAAATACAATATCTGAAATTAGAAATTCACTGGCTGGCTGGATAACAGGGTGGAGGCGACCCAGGAATGAAGAGAAAGTAGATCAGTAGATATCACCCAGGCTGAGACAGAGCCCTAGGAGGAGGAGAGAAAGAATGGCTGAAAAGTGTCCAAATGTGGTGGGACACATTAAATATACAAATTAAAAGAACCCGATGAACCCCAAGCAAATAAAAGAAAACTAACCACTCACATCATTGAAATCAATACTGAAAACTAAAGGAGAAGGGAGAATATTGGTCAGATCCTGGTACCCAGCAACAGTGGTGCTGAGGGATGAAGACCATCCACCAAGATCCTGTACCCAGATAATGCCCTCCAGGGACTGAGGCGAAATAAGGAGAAGTGAGAGAATTTATTGCCAGCAGACGTGCACTCCAGGAACACCACAGACAGCTCTCCAGGGTCAAGGGAAACTACAGGACATAAGAACGCGGGTCCACAGGAATGTAGTACAAAGAAAACTCACGGATAAATGTGAAGATGGTTTTCTTTTTCTTACTTCCTTCAAAATACGTATGACTGTTTAAAGCAAAATGAATCCTTTGTCTCTCGAGATTTGTAATGCACTCAGAAGGGATACACGTGACAAGCATGACATGGAGCTTGGTGGAGAGCACCGATGGACCTACATGGCTGCAGGGTCCACATTTTATGTGAAGTGGCACAGTATTAACTTTTAAGTAGATTTGAAAAGTTAAGAATGTATATTGTAGTCCTTGGAGTACGCACTAGGAAAGTGAAGAGTGACAGCTAAAATGCCAATAGACACATTAAAGGGGTGTTCTAAAAACATTTAAATAACCCAAAAAGGCAGAGGAGGAACACAGCAATAAAAAGTGAAATTTTAATAAGAAATTTAAAATTAAGTGGTAAACCTAACTACCATATGTATAATTACATTAAGATTAATGGACTAAACATTCCAGTTAAAAGACAAAGTGACAGAACAAATTAAATTTAAAAAGTAAGTTGTAATTTTCTATAGGAGGTGCACATTAAATAAAGAAATACAGAAAGTTTGAAAGAAAATGGATGGGAAAGATATACCGTGGAGTTAGTAGTTAGAAGATGAATTCAGGACTGAGCATCACCAAGGATAAAGGATGAGTCATCACAGAGAGACAGGAAGCCATAACAGACCTCAAAGCATGTGAAATAAAAGAGTAAGAACTAAAGGGAGACAGAGAAGGAATTTCAACACCCCTCTCCCCTCATTTGACAACAACTGGATTGAAAATCAGTAAAGGTTGGACCCTCTGCACCTGGTTCTAATGGGTGTTTCTGAGGCACCTTACCTTTGTTGTCTTCTGACACATTCTGTTCATATGCACATGATTTGTCCACCAGGAACACTCAGAAGGGTGTTTATACAGCCATATGCCAAGCCATATAAAAGGATTACATTGAAAAGGGATTAAATTATATAAAGATTCTGCTTCCCTGAGAGACCGTCTCTCCCATCTGAATAGTGAACAGGAGCTGGATATTCTGCAAAAGCCACAACTTTTTTGGACTCCCTCAGCACACTGAGTTTGTGAAGCAGCTATGGCATCGGAATTCCCAGCCCGCCCCACTGAGAAGGGATGGACCCGTCACCAGCCTCACCTTTAGCAGAGCATAGGAGGGAGAAGATAAGGAGAAAGCCACCAGCACACTGATGAATTCTTAGAGGGCCACTTGTCCCCAGACACAGAGTTCTTACTCAGAGCTCCAGTCTACAGGCCTCAATGAGGCCTGTGAAAAAGATTAGGACAGGGTGGGAGACCTTGGTGGTGCAGCGTGGGAAGTGACGGCCACTGACGTACTCACCTACTCTTTGTACTCTCTTCTTACAAGAAACAAAAGCCTCGAGCCACTAGCAAGGGGGCATCAACACATAAACTGAGATCTTTGGGGGAAGGGGATCTGTGAGAGGGGCCCCAGATCATGTCTGATACAGAACATGTATTGCTACTGTTGGGGACTGTTAGCAAGTGGGGTAAGGGGAGAATTGGCAGG